ATGCACAGTCGGGACCTAGTCGCCCATCGCATCTCCACAAGCGTGCCGTCTTCTTAGGCTAATAAAAATTGCAGTCATCGGAGGCGGTACCGCAGGTCTCGCCGTCGCGGCCTACGCCTTCTCGCTGCCGGCTCTTGCTCCGGTGGAGTAGTTCCCTCCCCAGCCGCTGGTGGACTGGTCTCTGGTATCCCAACCGCAGACCGGGGCCGCAAACCGTAGAGTGCACTATGCCGCCGGCAGGACCCTCGGAGGCAGCTCCGCCCTCAACACCATGGCCTACAACCGCGCCACCAAGGGGACGTACCAGAGATGGGCCACACTAGTCGGCAGCGACGGTTACACCTGGGACAATTTCGTGAAGTACTTCAAGTCCAGCGAGCTCACCCCGCCGGACTTTGCGAAGCGGAACACCCCCAATGCCACTTTCACCTACGACACATCCGTCTGGTGTACTGGCGACAATTACGGTCCCCTGCAGGTCTCCTACTCCAATTGGTAGACCCAAGTAAAACCTGGTTCGCAGCAGGCGTCAGAACCATAGGCCTCAACACCAGCAGCATAGGCCACAACAGCGGTATTCTCCAAGGTGGCGCCTACACAACGGACACCATCGACCCAAACAACCCGCTCTTCCTCAACACTGCCACGCGCTCCTCCTCAGAGAGCAGCTACCTCCGCGCCGCCATAACCGACACACAGCTCATGATCCACCACCGCACCCTCGCCACAAAGATCCTCTTCACCTCCAACAAGGCAACAGGCGTATTCGTCTCAACGGAGGAAATACCCTTCACCCTCACCGCCCGCAAGGAAATAATCCTCTCCGCCGGCGTCTTCCACTCCCCGCACCTCCTCCTCCTTTCCGGCATCGGGCCATCCTCCATCCTCTCCCCCCTCAACATTCCCGTCATCTCCGACATGCCAGGCGTAGGCCAGAACCTCCAAGACCAGATGTTCTTCTCCGTGCAGAACGGCATGTCCGTCCCTTCCTCCCCCAGCATCCTCTCCGACCGCAAGAGCCCGCCGCCCTCCAGGCATACCTCACCAATGCCTCGAGGCCGTACAGCTCAGCAGGCGGCTACATAGCCTTCGAGAAGCTCCCCCCGGCCTCCCGCGCCCGGGTTCTCCGACCGCACCGCCTCCCTGCTGGCTGCACTCCCCGCCGACGCGCCGGAGGTGGAGTACCTAGCCGGTTCCTTGGCGGGCACCACGCCCGGCGTGACGACGGTGGGCGACCTGTCCGCCTGTCTCCAAACCCCTTTCTCCAGGGGAAACGTCACCTTATCCTCCTCTTCCGCCTCCGACCCGCCGTTGATCAACATGGGGTGGCTAACGGACCCCGCCGACGGGGAGATCGTCGTCGCAGCCTTCAAACGCCTGCGGCAGGTATGGGCATCCGCAGACATGGCGGCCGTAAAAGTCGGTCCTGAGATCAAGCCCGGGGAAGCGGTGCAGACCGACGCGGAGATACTGCAGTGGATTAGGGAGAACACGCGGTCGGGACGTGTGCTATGGGGAGCAGTGGTCAGGAGGGAGCGGTGGTGGGACACACGGGGAAGGTGTACGGGGTGGAAGGGCTGAGGGTGGTGGACGCCAGCGTTAATCCCGTTCGCGTTGCCGGGGCATCCACAGGCGACAGTTTATGCGCTTGCGGAGAAGATTGTTAATGATATTCTTGCGGGGAGGTAGGTGGTCAGGTCACTGGAGGGGGAGAGAGATGGGGTGTTGGGTTTCATTGCTCCTGCGCATGCGCATGCGCCGGGATGGTGGTGGGTGATCATGGAGGTCGAATCCGATGTTGCCATGTACTTTCTCATCGTAGATAGTGGCCGGCTTATTATTCTTACCATAACGCACCTTATGCGCCTGTTCGTCTGAGCAGAGCGACCATGTACCCAGCTGGTCAGCCTGTAGGTAGCGCTTGATATCATGTACGTGCGTTTGCGTCCAATCCGGTAGGTACTGTAGTATGTAGGAATCCAGAGTCATTCCAATAGAGCAAGAATGCATCGAAATGAAGGATCTGGAGGATCTAAGTGAGTGGGAAGTGATGTTGTTGAGAAGAGAACCAGGGGACACGGCAAACATGGAACGAAGCCCAGGCCCAGTTAAAGTGGGTCCTGATATCTTTAAGCCGCGTTGATGAAACCGTGGGACATCAGACTTACACAATCGGTTCGGCAGCTGCATGTTTTTGACCATGAAGCTTCCACTTGCTACCTATCTTATTATTGATCCATTATGTAGTGTCGCACTTGCCTTTTTGGAGTTCTTTACGCTCTTCTACCTTGTCGTGTCTCGACTAACCAGAGATTAGGTATTGGTTGTTCGGCTTCTCGAGCGAAACTAGCATGCATGTGGGAGCAGACACAGCCCCCAAATCTTTAGGACACCTTGCAATCGTTCGACATGGACCGGAGTCGGGAAGCTGTTCCTCACCGACGGAACACGAACAACCAACAACCATGCTACGTGTAATTTCAATGTGGCAGGATCTCCATCAATCTAGCATCCTCACGACCGGGAAACAGAATGACTTCTTCGCGTCGAGCATGCCACTGAAGCGTTCGATAAAGCGTTGTTCTGACAACAATTGGTTGCCAATTCCATGAGCTCCGCCCGAGATTCGAAGCCAGCGGCGGGTGGCGGGACTACCGCCGGCCTGGCTTCCGGTACTGATGCACTCGCGCAAGCCGAACACGCGGGCTTCCGAGCGAGCGCAGACAGGGCGCCGGATGTCCCACCCGTCATTCCTTTAGACATTGAGGATGCCGCTGTAGCCGCTACAGCCTCAGAGCCCGCGCCGCCAGAGAGACTGTACATGACGGGCTGGCGACTATATGTCCTCACATTCGCGTCTGTCATCGCCCCCTATCCCAACTGCTAACACCATCTTACTGACAGACATACAGCCTCTGCCTCTCCCTCTTCCTATCCACGCTCGAGACCACGATCGTCAGCACCTCTCTCATCTCCATCACCGACGCCCTGGGCGGCTTCGAAAGGCGCGACTGGGTCGTGACCTCGTACCTGCTGACTTACACCGGCTTCCTTGTCATCTACGCCAAGTTCAGCGACGTCCTCGGGCGGAAGCCAATGATCCTCCTGGCCGTCGGGCTCTTCACCGTCTTCTCCATCGTGTGCGGGTCCATTTCGAACCTGCTCCAGCTGTGCGTTTCCTCTTTTGCCTGGGTTCCGCCAACAATGGCCACCGGCTGACAAGTAACACAGCATCATCTTCCGTGCCTTTCAAGGCATGGGCGCATCAGGCATATACGCCATGGTAACGGTCATGAACCCCGAGATGGTTCCCTCCAGCCAATGGGGTACCTACGTCGCCATCACCTCCGTTGTATTCGTCCTGAGCTCCGTCCTCGGCCCTGTTCTGGGCGGAGTGATCAACAGCGGCCACGACCACTCCTCCTGGCGATGGGTGTTTCTTCTCAAGTACCTCACCCTCCATACCCCTTTTCTCCCCAACCCCGTGCTGATCACAGGAACCCAGCGCACCAACAGGCGCAATAGCAACAGCCCTAATAGCCTTCATCCTCCCCGCCCAATTCCCCTACAAGCCTACCGCCACTACAGCCCGCACGCATTGGCACGACAAGTTCACTCTCAAATCCCTCGCGCGACTCGACCTACTCGGCGCATTCCTCCTCCTGGCGTCCTCCATCCTCCTCGTCTTCGGCTTCGAGGAAGCCGGCGCGCGATACCCCTGGGGCAGCGCCGCCGTGCTCAGCACACTGATCATCGGCGCCGTCCTGCTCGTCGCCTTCGTATTCTGGGAGAAGATCGTCGCCCACGAGCGGTTCGCCCAAGATCCCGTCTTCCCGCTGCGGTTGATGAAGGATCGGCGGTTTGTCGGTATGGCCATGTACGCTAACCTCCTTACACTCCACCAACCTCTGCCCCAAACTGACAACAAGCCCACCCAGTGTCGCTCTCCTGACAGGTCCCCCCTTCATGACAGTCCTAATCAACCTCCCCCAGCGCTTCCAAGCCGTGAGCGGGAGCACGCCCTTCCAAGCCGGCATCCACCTCTTGCCGCTGCTGCTCAGCTCGCCCCTCGCTACCGCCGTGGCCGGCCAGCTCGTCAGCAGGTGGCACGTGCCGCCCTTCTACATGCTCCTCACGGGCGCTTCACTACAACTCCTCGGCCTCGGGCTGGCGAGCTCGGTAGGCGTAGGGGAAGCGGGGGACAAGATGATGTACGGCTTCGAGGTGATCATGGGTTTTTCCTTCGGCATGACGCTCATCATGCTGATTATTTACGTGCCGTTTGTCGTCGAACGGGCTGATATGGGTGAGCCATTTCCCCCTCTTTCCAACCACCACCCCACATACCTACCTGTGAACTAACAACAGCACCCAGCGGTCGGTATATCATCCATAACCCAGATCCGCGTCCTAGGCGGGACGATAGGCCTGGCCATCAGCGCGACAGTCCTAAACCATGCCCTCTCCGCCCGCCTGCCATCCATCCTCGACGCCGATCAAATCAAAGCCATATCCGACTCGGCGCTCTTCATCGGCACCCTCCCCGAAGCAAAGCGGGACGACGTCCGCCTGGCCTACAGCGAGGCCTTCAACGAGCAGTTCAGGGTGATGCTGTACTTTGCCGCCGCCGTTTGGTTGGCCACGGTGTTGATGTGGGAGAGGAGGATGAGGACTGCTAGGGATATTGAGGGGTATTGATATGGGGTCCTCCGTGTTATGATATGTAGAAAAGCTTAGAGGACAAGAGATAAGGTACCCAGCCACTTTTGCATAGAAAGGCTCCGTGTTTGTGAATCTGTGGTAGGGATGGGCCTGCGAGAAGTTCAGACGCAACGAAATCTCGACTCAGTCCATGACTCACTCACTCCCTGCGCCCCGTGCCTTCATTCCCAACCTCCCGGTCCGGCCCATCCCAAGGGCGCATAACCCGCTGCGCCCCGTACCGTGCGTCCGTTCTCTTTGAACTGAACAGAGCTTGATTCTTCCATCAACAAACACAAAACTGCGTGGCGCAGTGGAAGCGCGGTAAGTTCTGGCTACACAAGAAGTCGACAGTTCGAATCAGCCATACTAACTCTACTCTCCTCAGCCGGGCTCATAACCCGGAGGTCCTCCGATCGAAACGGAGCGCAGCTACTCCTTTCTTTTTTGCCTCTTTTTGCTCTTTTTTGCTCTTGACTTTTTGTGTTGTCGTCTGGTGTAAGGGCCGAGTGGGAGGCACGTCGACCACTTGTACAGTTCCTTTGCTTTTGCACGCCTCCGTGCATCACGAGAACACTCGCATAAAGGAAGTAGCTTGATATCATCGAACTTGACTTGATTGACTAAAGACGACCACTATGCCACCACACCACCACTACCTAGCTATGAACAGTCCAACAAACGAGACCCAACCAGTTCGCTCTTCACTTCCCTCCACCATTTTTCGCCCAACAAAAAGGGACCAAGAACTAACAAAGTCTCGCCATCCGAACAGAGAGGGCGGGTATGTTCCATCAAGATTGACCACTTCACTCCAAGGAGAAGAAAGCCAGAAAGATGACGCCGTCCGCTATGCAAGGTTCGCAACAACAAGATAGAAAAAGGAAAATTGAACAGGAAGAACAAAAGACAAGCCATGACACAGACAATAGCAGGGAAGAAGTCTGGTCGCGCAAGGCTGACAATATGGACAGTAGAAAGCAGGTCCAACTTGCACCTGGCACCACCTCATCTCGCACCTCCCAGCAGTTTTCCGAACTCTCTAACTTCGTTAGTTTTGATGCTGTACAACTTCGACAGTCACGCTGAAAGTACTCGACGACAAGGCCAACGATTTAGCAGCACGCTTGCTCCGAAAGCATGAATCCTTCAAAACCGCGCACTCGCTCCAAGATGACACGCTCGCTCAAGACGGCGTGCTTTGCTTCCAAAGGGGCAGTCGCTCGCTTCCAAAACAGCATGCTCGCTTTCAAAGCGACACAGGACATCTAAGGAGTCCTCGGCCTCTTCCAGTAATATTGCTGCAACTTGTTAGCCCCTTTCCTCTTTTACCTCTCCTCTCTCTCAGAGGTGAACATACCTTATGACTCTTCCTACAATTCCTCAAACTCGGCTTCCTAAGCCCATCGGTAACCGCGAGCCGGCGGTTCTCATCCTCGTCCATCTCAGGGATGTAATAATACTCGCTCTCGAGGGGTTTACCAGCCGCATCCTTGCCCTGTCGAGGTATAATCCCGACGCAGGGCGTCTTCTCGATGATACTCCGCAGCCCATCTTTCGTCAGATCCTTCCTCTCTTCGGGGGGAAGGTTGGTCAAGATACCCGAGAGCGGGTTGGAAGACAGCCTTGAGAAGGCAAGCTGGTTGATCACATGGTTCGTCACGGTGGGTATATCCACGTTGAGTAGCGAGGCGGCGATGGCGGCTTCTTTCTCCACGGCAGCTTCTGCGGCGGCCTTTTGGTTGATCTCCTGCCGCGAGGGGGCGTGGGCCTTGGGGCTGGCGTGGAGGGAGTTGGGGCGAGATGTTTGGAGGGGGGCGGTGCTGGCGCCCGAGCCGGGGAGGGAGGTGGATTCTTCGAGCACGGGGGAGATGCCGCGGAAGATGCGGGGGTTGTTGCCCTGCTTGGGAGAGGCAGCGGAGATCGAGGCAAGCCGGGAGTTGAGGTTCGCGCCGAAGGGGCCGAAGGAGTGCACTATGGGATCGTTCTCCTCGTCGGGATCGTTCTCTGCGTCCGAGAGGGGATCGCTGAGGTCGGAGGAGAAGCTGGCTACTTCTGTGGCGGCCATGGAGGTGTCGAAGGTTGTCGAGGCGAGGTTGGGCAGGTCCTGCTTGTCGGACTCGTCTTCGTATATGTGCACCGGGGAGGAGTGGTCTTCTTCGTTCTGATTGTCGGGGAGAAGAGAGCGGAGGCTGGAGTTGGAGACGTTGGCAGGGGTGGGCGACACGGGGGAAGCGATGCGGGTCGTGCGGCGGAGGGGACTGCCGTGGAGGGCGGCGCGGTCCTGGTCACCGCGCACTGAGCGGGGGGAGTCGTCCCATGGTGAACTGTCCCTGTCGGTTTGGTCGCGGTCGACCTTGGGCCATTGGATGAGCACACGCGCGTCTTGCACGTCGATCATGAGTTCCGCGCCTTCTGTCTCGGACGTGAAGGTGTCGCCCTTTCCTAGGTCCCATGTACGACCCTGGCAGTGCAACTTCAACCCGTTCCAACCATTGCAGACGATCTCGACCTTGTTCGCTTCTAGTGGCGTGGCAGCGAGAACATAGCGCGCCTTGACGTGGACGCGGCTGATCAGGCGGTTGGCTGAGAGTTGGAAGTGGCTGCTGTTGCTGGAGCGGCCCATGAGGATGGCATCGCCATTGGGGTCGAGCTCGACTGAGGGCACGGCAGATAGGGGTGCGCGTTCAGATACGCTTGACTGCGTCCGTTGCAGAGTCGGCCGGGAGGGCCCGAGGCGTGGTGGAGACGAGGAGAGAATGCCGGTGCTGGAGGTCGGGATAGGCGTCGGGTACTTGGTGTAGGCTGCCGAGAGGGCCTGGCGCTTTGCCGGTCGGGGCAGGCCCGGTGAGGAAGAGAGAGGCTCGAATGCTGGGAGTAGCGAGGGAGCTGGCCGCTTCACGCCGGCCGTGGAGGGCAGCGAGGGCGAGAGAGACTTCGGGTTGGCTGTGGTAGCTCCTCCCGAAGGAGATGAAGGAAGAGGTGTATTCATGTCGAGGTTAGGTTTGCTTGTTAGAGCAAGCTCATGACAGGTCTTGAAGGAGGAATTGGTCCGGCAGCGAGAGATATTTCGCGTCGGAATCCAAGGCGCGTCAATTGATGACCCCTTCTTCGCCCGATATCCCAGCTGAGGGGAAAAGCACGTGTACAGCCGCAAAGAGAGAGAGAGGACCTGTACAAGCACAGGATGCCAAAAGATTGTTAACTTGGACAGGAAGCTGTGCGAAATAGGTACCAGAATGGCAAAGGCCTCGAGAAGTCAGGCCCGACGGAAAGCTGGGTCGTGGGGGGGGAGATTTAGTATTTAAAGAGAGACAAGGAAGAGCGTGGCAGGAGTGAGTGGTGAGTGGTCGTGGTCGTGTCGACCCGCAGTCGCCAGCAAAGTGAGCAGCAAGACGCGGTTTAGACATGGATTGTCGCATCGCGTTGGCGTTTTGGCTGGCGTCCGAAGCACTGACCTGAACCACTTATGAGGCGGCCACTCAGAAGCCTCGAAGCGCCGGTTGGCCCCTCATGGCACGCTTCACCGCCCTAAATCGCGAGAAATAGTGCCAGGTTTAATGCAGACTTTATGACGTACTGGCGCGGTTGGCCGCGGTTGCTCTGACCAGCCAACACTTGCACTTGCACTTGCATCTTTCAGCTTGTCGTCGACACTGCTCTTTCCCTTCTTGCATTCACTGTCCCAAATGTTACTGCACATCAACTCTAAATCACTTTAGAACAAATGCAATGCACTTCCAGGTTGTCCGGAGAAAGTTAATCTTTTCTTGCCCAGCCTTCCGTCTCAGGGAAGTCGCGTCTTGAGATCGGAACCCCACTGACCCCACGGCCGAAATTCTGCGGCGCGCTGCATTTCGCTAAGATGGATGCTTCCACTTACAGGACGCCAGTCAAATGACGAGAACACTGCGATATTTAGCCGCCCAAAAGCAGGAGAATGCAGGGAGCCTCCCCAACCACGACATCTTGACTCAAGGAGCTGCAGAATCAAGGCAACTGAGCGTTTGGTACTCCAACCCCCGATGTCATCCACTGTTGCTGCTATCATCCGTCTCGTTGAACACGCGAGCTTCAATATGCCGTAAGATTGCGACCTGAGACAAGACTGTTCTGGCATAGTCACTTTCCACAGAGGGACCGGGAAGGGGTTAGACTCGTAGACCCTTAAACACCAGCCAAGACTCGACTTGAGCTGCAGTCTGTTATACATGCCTCCTAAACACAATGCTTCCATGCTATCACGCTCCTAGAGGTCTGCCTCCACCCTCTGGCCCCGCTTCCCCTTCTTCAGCACCCCAAAGTACTCTTTAAACGCCTCCTTCAACACCTTATCATCAAGCTGCATATGCTCCCCAGGCGTCGTCTTGAACGTCAGCCCGCCCTTCCGATCCAACTCCTTAAGTCCAATCCAATCCTCCTTGTAGATCGGTCTCGCCCGCAACGGCGTCGTCTCCGTCCCATTAACCTCCTCAAACCACGCGCTCTCCTTGGGGATAGCCACCGTATCGTCCTCAAACATGTACATAACAAAGTTCTCCAACCTCTTCAAATTCTCCACATACGTCTTATTCTTCAGCACCCGCTCGTTATTGATATCCGCCAGGAAATTCGAGTGCTCCAGATACTTCTCGTACTCCGCCGGCTCCGGATCGCGGTAGTACTGCGCCGGCACCAACCTGCTCTGCACAAACGAGCTCCACGTGTTGCCCCTCAGCAGCGCCATGGCGCCCTTGCACACCCAGTCCGTAGGGCCGCAGCTCCGGAAATCGACGATGCCGTTGTGCTGCGCGCCGAAGGTCACGAGGGAACGGACTGGGGGGTAGTTGCACCGCTGCACGTAACCCCGTAGGAACTGCCCGCCCTGGCTGAAGCCGAGGGCGTCGATGGCGGGCGCGGTGGAGAGGATCGGGTGCGCGGCGAGCCGCGCGCAGACCTGCGCTATCTGCTCCGTCACGTTGCCGAGGAAGGTGGCGGAGCGGTCGCCGTTCGCGTCGGGCGCGAGGGCGATGGTGTAGACTAGTGTGCCCGGGTTGACGGACTCGGCGAGGGCGGCGACGTCGCGGAGGGAGGGGTTGGCGAAGCTATCGCCTAGGCCTGGGGGAAACAGTTTAGTATAGGGGTGAGGGAAGGAGGAGATATTGGGTGAAAGACGAACCATGCCAGATGACGAGGGGGAGGGGTGTGTCGTCGTTGTCTTCGAGCGTCTTTTGCTTGGCCGAGGTGGCGAAAGGGAAGGGAAGAATGGAAGCGGAAGCGAGAGGCAGGAGCGCAGCAATGCTGCAGATGAGCGAGAGCTTCTTTGAGAGCGCCATTGTCGAGTTTGTTGGTAAAGTACAGATGTGTTTGTTGTTGTCAAGTCATTATCGTGGGACGACGTTGGGATGGCGGTTGCCTTGGATCATGTTATTGCCTGATTGCCTACGAGACCGTCC